AATATTTACAATTTATTGGGGGGTGAAAAAGATACCCAGAGACACACCTCCCTCTGATTCATTCCAGGTTACAAGAACGAACACTCTCACATCCCACCTCATCTCTCCCAAAGTCAGAACTCGGGCCCATCTACTTTCATAAGCTGTGATTGTGCTAATACCACCTGAGTCTTTACCACCAATCCAAGGCATTGTGCACAGAAGTGACCTCAGTGTTTCAAAAAAAAAATAAAAAAATCTATGTTGTGAAGAAATCAAAAGCACAACACATAAATGGATACAATCACTGTTGATGGTATCTACTCTAGCTAAACATTCACCTACCTTATGACTCAGCAATTCCACGGCTGGGTATTTGCCCAGCAGAAACCACTGAGTTTACCCACATATTCATAGAAAGATGCTGGCCAGGCCCGGGGCAGCCGGGTCGGGTGCGGCCAGGCCCGGAGCAGCGGCTGCCAGGCTGGGAGCGGCCAGGCCCAGAGCAGCAGCTGCCAGGCTGGGAGCAGCCAGGCCCGGAGCAGCCGGGCCCAAAGCAGCCAGGTCGGGTGCGGCCAGGCCCGGAACAGCAGCAGCCAAGTCCAGAGCAACTAGGTCGGGAGCGGCAGTGACCAGACCCGGAGCAGCTGGTTGTGGAACGAACCAGAGCAACAGAGGCCAGGCCCGGAGCAGCCAGGCCCAGAACAGCTCGCTCCTCGCCTGCCCCTGCCCCACGGCTGCCTCTCAGACATGGCTTAAATCTGGATGTGTTGAGTTAGTATAGTGCTGGGGTGTTGATCTGTGAGTGCCTTGGGTGGGGCCTGGATGAGGCTGGTTGACCTATTTGGAAATGTCTTTTGTGTGAAGTGTATCTTTGGGCATGTGGATGTATTATTGATATATGAGAAAATGCTAAGTAACTGATTTACTATCTGAAAAGGGATTTACTATTGGGGAAAGGGAGGAAGGAAGAGACTGAACATAAACTGTGCACCTATGGATGAGGACAATGGGGGATGGGGAGGGGGCGGAGGGTGGGGTGGGAACCTGGTGGAGGGAGGAAGAAATGAGGAACCTTTGGAATAATATGAACAATAAAGATTGATTTAAAAAAAAAAAAAAAAAAAAAAAAAAAAAGGATGCTCATAGCCGCTTTATTAGTGAGAGCCTAAACTGGAAATCATCCAAATGTCTGTCCTCAGGAAGACAGACATTCACACCGGAATGTAGCTGTAGGATGGGGTATGACTCAGCAGTAAAGAGAATGACCTGCTGATGAATCTCAAACATGCTGTTGAGTGAAAGAAGCCAGACTCTGAAGAATACGTTTCATGATTCCATTTATATGAAGTTCTAGAACTTAGACACAGGGAGCCCTCCGCGGTGCCAGGAATGCTTTCTGTCTCATTCTTGGAGTGGATGTGTGGGTGAGCACATATGGCTGACTTCACAGAGCTGCATACTTGGGATGAGTGCACTTTATGGATATGTGCTAATCCTCTGGTTAAAATTTTACAAACCAAGCAAGGTCCCATAGGTGTTCCTTGGTGCACGCCTCTTGTAGGGAAGACTAAGGAGGATGTGTGATGGGTCCATGGTCTCTTTGAGACATCTCAAATGGAGGCATCAGCCTCCAGAAGCAAAGTGAGGAAGAGGGGGGGATAGACTCATGGAAGATCACCCAGGTCCAACCCCGAGAACATTTCTGCAACAATCGGGGCATGAAAAGGAAGCAGGCAGTGGCCACAGGAAGGACAGAAGAAATGCAAATGTCTTTGGCCTCAGCCAACAGTGGATTGTGTTCAGACACAGTCATGTCAGTTGTACAATATACAATAGCATCTCCTCTGGTCTTGTACTGTGTGTGCTACCTCTCACAAACCAAAATGATAACTAAGCCCGCATCTTCCAATCCCTAAACGCTGAGAACAAATGAGCATCGGCTGTATTTCTCAGCAGAGTCCTTAGAAAAGACTATCTATTACCTGTAATGCGTCAGCAAAGATCCAGGTGGCTTTTCAAATTAGCTTCGCCTTCACAGGGAACTGTGTGCCAGTGAGCGTTTTCTCCTCACCAAGCTCCAGTCATTAAAGGGACAGAGGCCTCTGGTGACTGAGGTCTCACTGGATATAGGTTACCCTGATTTCCCAACGAGTCTGTCATGTAAGGTGGGGGGGTGGGGGGGGGGGAGGAGGTGGCGGGAATGCAAGGCATAATCGTTGGAATGCTGGTTGTGGGAGCTGCTCCTTCTGCAGCCCTGGCTTTGTGATGCTAATGCTGCCCTTGGGACCCAGCCCCACTCCCCAGGTCTGTGCGGGAGACACAAGAAGAACCCCTGAGCCCCTGAGAGCCTCTGAAGCAGGTCCTTTTTCTATGTCCTGGAATTTTCTTCCACAGATGAGGTTACTGGTCCTCTCAATGCCTTTGTTAAAAAACACAAAAGAGGCTTGGCCAAATTCCAAAAAACACCCTCCCTCTTCTAAGGCCTCCTCTGTAGCAGAGCTCAAAGTGGGATAAATGGGTCCCTGGGAAAACTTCAGGACCCCAGCCCCTTCTACCCGCCCTGAGCAATCCCTGGGGCCACTAAGTGTTGGGCCTATTAGACTCTCAAGTGGAGATGCCGGGTGGCCTGTTGGACAGCGTTGAAGCTCACAAAGTCTGGGTTGAAAACAGGTCTGGGGATCGTTGGCTTAGAGCTGTTTTTAAAGTCATGGGTGTTGAGGGAGGAAAGAAGGCGCCCAGGAACTGACCTTGAGAGGCAAACCCTGAAGCCTCTGAGTTGACCCTTGAAGAAGAAGGAATTAGCCAGGAAGGTGGGACAAGGCAGGTGGGGCAGAAGGCACTCTATGGATAAGATTTCAACATAAAAAAGACATGACTCTCAGTACTTCTCAAAATTGCCAAGGCTGTCAAAACCAAAGAGTCTGAGAAACTGTCAGAGCTAAGAGAAGCATAAGGAGAAATGGCTTTAATTATTAATAATATGTCAAAATTAATTCATTAATTGTAACAAATTAATTGTTAAATTAAATTGTACCCTACTACACACATGTAAAACTACATACATGTAAAATATTAATAATAGAGAAACTGGGTGTGAGGTACAATAAATTCTCTGTATAATCTTCTCAATTTTCCTCTAAGTCTAAAACTGTTCTAAAAAGTAATCTATTTTTTAAAAAGGACATGAGCCTCATAAATATCCCCCAACACACACAAACACACTCACATGCGCACTCCAAGGACATAGTAATGTGTTTCTCTGGGTAGTCTGAGTGGACAGTATGAAGATTTTGACCCTGCCCAGTCCTTTCTGTAGTCAAAAGACTCAGGGACATTGAATATTCCCTCACTCCTCCACCTCCTTTCTTTCTGTTCACAGAAAGAATACTCTCCTCGGGCCATATTTCATAATGAAAATGAGAAGCAGAGACTAAATGGCTCAGGTAAGTCAGATCCACCTAGGATCCTTCGGGGGCAGGGAAGGGGGGAGTACAACCTGAGTTAATCCTCTGGGAATACTGTCAATGTGCATTCCTTAGTCACAATTTTCCTGAACCCTACCTTGTTCAATCCTGGCTTGGTTTCCCCCCTGCAGCCTTGGTGCCACCTGGGTTCAAATACCAGTTCCACAACTAACTAGGTATGGGTTCTTGGCCAACTCACTTGAGCCTATTTCCTCATTTCTAAAAGGGCCATCACCATACTTTATCAAAGAGTGGGTAAAATGAGATGAATGGTAAATTGAGTGCCATTTCATCCTCTGAAGAATGGATGTGAGATAGAGAATGCCAACTGTCTAGCATGGTGCCTGGCACGCATGGCGGCTGGTTGTTGATGACAGGCATGGTCAGTCCGGCCAATCAGTGAGGTCCCTGAAGATCCAAGTGTGTCCCTTGGGTCCCTGGGGCCCAGGGTGCTGACTGAGGATCAGAGAAGTACAGGGAGCTGTGAATCAGAGCAGAAGCGGGGACTGGGCAGTGGCCAAGGGCCAGCCAGAGAGGGCTTTGCAGGCAGATGGCCTGGGAGGCATCAAGGCTGGAGAGGACTCAGAGGCAGATGGAGGTGACACTGTGTGGCTGAGGCCCCAACAGCCAGCTCAGAATTCCCGAGCCAACTCAAGTGCAGCCTTAACTGATGCCATCCAGTACCTTGGACAGCTCCAGGGGGGGGGATCCCTAGGTTTGAGGGGCACTAGTTTGTGGGTGGAGACTAGATTGGGTCTTGACTCCTCCATCTTCACCTGAGTCTCAATGATCTCATTTCTAACTTGAGACAACACCTGCTCTTCAGCGCTTTTTGTAAAGAGCAGCTCTGTTATTCCATGGACTCTTTACAAAAAAGAGTCCATGTGTCTGGGGTCACTTGAGTGTGTATCCCAGCTCCACACTCTGTGGTGGCAGAGAAGTTGTTTAGCTTCTGTGAGCCTCAGTTTGCTCATCTGCAAAATGGGAAGGCTGACAGATGCTGATTCATAGGGTTGGGAAGATGAAACAAAGAGGACATCAAGCACACAGAGGAGATTTGCTTTTTGTTTTGGAAGAGAGCACGGCACCCAGCACAGTAGATAATCAACACTCCGTTTCTTATACAGTATCTTCCAGATTGACTTTGCCTCTTCACTTTCAGATTCTCTTGGTTGGTCCTCCCATCTCTGCTGTTAAAAGAGTCCACAAATTCAGAGAAATCAATCTTGTGCATCCACAGGCTTCCCACCCCAACCCTCCTCCCCCGGTGAAGTCCCGGCTTCTCAGTGCCACCCACCCCGGACACCTCGAACACTTTTTAAAATACCAGTGTGTCGTGATCGTTCTGTGCTAGCCACTGTTCTAAGATATATCAGTTACCCTCACAACCCTGAGAGATAAGTACCCAGTTTACAGATGAGAAAACTGAGACTTTGCCAGGTCGGGTCATTAAACCGTGGGGTCGCACAGCTGTTGATGGGTGGTGCTGTGTTCCCATCCCAAGAATGGCATCTCAGAACCCCACACCAGCAGCCAGGAGGAGGAAGGAGAGTAGGTGGGAGACCACCTGGGAATCAGGGCACCCGGTTCTCGCCTTGGACCTGGGACCGCAGGCCCAGGGGTCCTGAGACCAGACGCTTACCCGGAGTCCTGCCGGCTGCCCGGCGGGGTGGACCTACCCTCGCCCTGGCTCCAGGCCCTCCCCCGCGGCGCCTCCGTGCCCCACGGCTGCAGCGCCGGTAACCTGACCCGCGGCGGGTTTGGGCCGCAGAGACCGGCGGCCCCGCTGCTCCGCGCTCCCCGCCCGCAGTGCCGGCTCCGCTGTCGGGCGTGCGGGCGCATGGCGCAGAGGCTGGGCGAGCGGGCGCGGGTGCCCGCCGAGGCCACCGGGCTGTACCGGGCCGTGCTGCTCCGGTCCGGTAAGTGGGAGCCAGGCCCTCCCCGCCTCCGTCCTGGAGGGGCGCGGAGAGGGTTGGTGGGCGCACCGAGCGCAGCCCCAGCCAGCCCGCCGCAGCGCTTTGGTCCTTCCTGGCTCCGCTTCCCCCCTTCCCGTCCTTCCTCCCTTCCTCCCTTTCATTACTTTTCTTTCTCCGCTCTCTTCTTCCCTTTCGTTCCTCCTTTCCTTCCTGCATTCTTCCCCTGGGGATTTGTATGGCTATGTGGGCGCGAACACTCGCTCGCTCGCTCACACTCAGTGTCCTGGCGACAGAAGTGAGCTCCCCTCTTGGGGGTCCGCGCGGCGCGGGGCGCTGGGGGCGCGGGGCGCTGGGGGCGCGGGGCGCTGGGGGCGCGGGGCGCTGGGGGCGCGGGGCGCTGGGGGCGCGGGGCGCTGGGGGCGCGGGCTCGGAGCAGGAGGGAATGCGAAATGGACTGATGTCCAGGGAAATTAGGTTCGCGGGAACGGTGGGAGGGGGGAGAGCAAGTTCCTGGAGGCGAGGAAGCGTTTTCCATACCCGTCCTTTAAGCCGTTAAGAAGAACAAGATTTGTCAGGAAACACCGCGCGTCGCTTTTGCGGGTGGGAGTTGAATAAGTGTGTTTCCTCCTATCTCTCCTTTCATTTGAAGTAAACATATTACATTACTGCTCAGGACGATGAGAGATGCTTTTATTTAGGAAAATGAAACCAACGTACGACATGGTCACTTTACAAGTAATTTGGAAAACGGGAAAGTGGAAAGAAGGAGACGCTGAATGTCCGAATCCGGCCTTTGGAACGGTTCCTTCTGGACTTTGTGCTTGAATGTGACGATGGGGAAGGTGGAGAGCGGTTTCCTCCTGGGAGTCCGTGCCTGTTGGGGTACGCGGTTAGAGGGCCTCGAGGGCCCTGGGCGCCGGGGGAGCGACCCTCTGCCAGGGCGAGGGGCGCCCCACCCAGCGGTCCTGCCTGCGGATCGCTGGGGACAGAGGAGAGGCCCGGGCTGTGTGCCCAGGGCCAGCCCGGAGCTGTCCTTCCGCTCTGGGACCTCCGGACCAATCGCCTTTCCCACCCGGACCGGCCCGCTGCGGAGCCACTGCTGCGGAGCCTGGGGACTCCAGGTCCAAAGCCAGAGCTGGCAGAGCATCGGGGCTGGTGGCGCCTTCCGGGGAAGGTCTTAGATGTGGCGGCGCCAGCCGGCTGGCAGGAAGGGATGCGCTTTCTAATGAAAAGAATCTGATTTCAAATCCCAGCTCCAGCGATTCCCCCACCGAGCACTCTCTTAAGTGTCCCGCCCAGTTCCTTTCCTCTCACCAAAATGCGGAGGGCGCAGCTCCAATCCCAACAGCTGAGCTCCCTCTAACTGCAGCCAGGAGCCTTGCTCCAAAGGTAGCATGTATCACTCGCAGCCGCAGCCCCTCCAAACTCACAGACATGTTAGAGTCATTCCCGCGGCACATATCTGCACACAGCGACGCAGCCAGGAGGGCACAGAGGCCTGTGACTGGGCCCCCTACTCTGTGCTAGGCGCTGGGCCTCTGGCCCGCTCCACAGCCCTGGAGTCACCGCTAATTGTCATCCCCTTTTGATGCAGGAGGAGACCGAGGTCAGAGAGAGCAAGCAGCTTGCTGGCCCATGGCCCTGCTAAGGAACCTTGTCTAAAGGGTAGAGAGAAGACGCATTCAATCTTAGGTCCGTGGATGCCGAAGTCTGCACACCTTCTGAGGACAGCAATAACAACAGCCAGTGATTGTTATTCCTCCCCCACTTGTTCCTGCTATTCTCTCTGCCAAATGCTGTGCCTCTCATGAACTTCCTTCATTTAATCATTCAACCAATATGGATTGATCACTGTCTTAAACATGAGGAGACCGAAGCTCAGAGGGTAACGTGACTTGCCTACGGGGTGACACAGCCCATGGAGGTGGGGCTGAGATTCAAACCCAGGGCTGCCTGCTCTGGCTGCCTCACACAGGAAGAGCAGTGAGTATGACTGAGGGGAGAGGAGTCAACTCACCATTTAGTCAAGAGGCAGGATCCCCTTCAGCAGCTTCCGAAGACAGGATCGTAGAATCAAAGTAGTGTTTTCATACAATAGCCTCAACTTATGCCTCAAAGTACTACAACGCTTTAGAAAAACTGTCATCTCAAATTACTTTAAAATAACTGAGTATTAAAATAATACAGGCTCACCATGAGTATTTTGGGAAATCGAGAATAAAGAGAGGAAGTCATTGACCTAGAATCCCACCAACCATAAGCAGGCACTGGTAACACTGGGGATGTCTCCTTTTAACCTTTGCTGTGCGCAGTGGGTGGTCATGTGTGCTTGCTCTTTGTCGCTGAGATTGTACTGGCTCTGGACTCTGACCTCACTCTTCTCACTTGGCTGGAAATCTTTAATGCTCTTAAAGGAGTGACCCAGAAAACAGTGCCCGCCGTGGAGCTCAGACTCTGGGGCCGGTACTGCGTGAAGGGCTTCTGTGTGAACAGATTGTTGTATGTCCTTCATGCCTCAAAAGGACGTCTGCCCCCTTTTGGAGACAAGGAAATGGAGAGTTGAAGGTTAACCGGGTCCCCTAGCTGTGCAGCCTGGAGCCAGGAGTGGTGTCTGTGCTGACACCAGAGCCCAGGCTCTGCCCCACTGGGCTGGCAGGATCCCCTCAGGGGAGCACGCATGCTTGGCCGTGCCTGGCGGGCTGTGCGGGGCTGTAGTGGAGTTCCCCTGCAGTTGGCCACCGGCATCCTACCTGGAGCTCAGGCCAGGGGGTCAGCCAGGGGGGCAGCCAGGGGGCAGCCAGAGGGGGCAGCCGGAGCCTCCAGCCCTCCCTGCCAAGGAGGGTTGCCAGGTAAAACACAGGGCACCCAGTAAGATCTGAATCTCAGACACACAACCAATAACATTTCAGAGTCTAGAAAATCATTCATTGCTATCTGAAGCTCAAATTTAATTGGGCATGCTGTATTGTTTTTTAATATATTTTATTGAGTTTTTACAGAGAGGAAAAGAGAGGGATAAAGAGTTAGAAACATCGATGAGAGAGAGTCATCGATCAGCTGCCTCTTGCACACCCCCTACTGGGGATGTGCCTGCAACCAAGGTACATGCCCTTGACCAAATCTGGGACCCTTCAGTCCACAGGCTGACGCTCTATCCACTGAGTCAAACTGGTTTCGGCTGGGCATGCTGTATTTTTGTTTGCTCTGTCTGGCGACCCCACTGCCAGGAATCATGGAACTTTGCGTGGCTTGACAGGCGATGATCTGCCTCTGTGCAAACACACTCACCCTCACTCACATCCTCTCCCCATCCCGAGCTCCCCTGTCCATCTGTCCGGCTACAGTGAACTTCAGTGTCCTGGGGGTGGGGCATCCCAGGCTCTTCAGCTGCGGAGAGAGGACCGGCCTCCCTGCAGAGGGTGGACAGCCAGCTTTCTGAAACAGACTCGGTTCTTCCCCACTCCCTCACACTTCCCTGTGTTCACGCTTGATCTCCCTCCACCCTGCGAATTCTTTCTCATTCAAGCTTGTTGTAAAGGCAACCCTCATTACTTCGATAATCTCCCCACGGGTCCCATGACAAGTTTTCCTGCCAAAGCAGCTCCCCCCCTCCCCCACTCCTTTCAGCCCAGCATGTAGGGGGGAGGGGAGGTCGGATTCTAGGGCTGTTGTGTGGGTGGCTCTCAAAACCCTCATTGAGGCTCGAAAAGTGGCCTTGGAGATAGAATGAATGCACGGCTGGGGAGGAAATTTGGAGTTGCCATGGGAACTTCTTGTCTGATGCTTGTGGGTCCAGATAACTGCTGGTGGTTCCTGTCGGCTTGGAGAAAAGGGGCAGAGATGAAAGGGAAGAGGGGTTTGGAGTTTTTTAATGAAAGCTGTAGAGGCAGGAAGGTTGCCAGCTCCCACTCACCACTGCCTCTTCTGGTCTTCACGGCACTTCCATGTGCACCTCTTGTTCTCCAGAAAACAAGCTCAGAGGGGCAGGAAGGACGTGTGGGAGGGTTGTGCTCAGTGCCGGGATCCCCTTCAGTCCTCCGGGGATTGAATCTGATCCCCAGAATGGGGAGGCCTCAGGGAAAGCCACACCAACCAGGCAGGAGGCAGCAGCTGGGGCTGAGTTCGGCCGATACCTGGAGGAACCAGCTGAAAGGTTCATTTTCCCCGAAGGCCCCTGCTTTCTGACATGGCCAAACCAGGTGTGAAGCATAACTACAGTTAGTTGGAAAGGTTGCCCTTTTTCAGGTTTTTAATCTTTATTGCCTTTTTCTGACAGCAAAAGGAATCGATGCGCACTTGTCTTTTTTAAGCCACAAATACTACAAAAATATAGTGACGAAGGAGAAGAGCTTGTCATTTTATGCCTTGGAATAGTGGTTCTCAAAGTCCCAAATATAAACACATCCGCAGGGGACATGCTAAAATCCAGATTCCTAGGTCCCCCCTCCCCTTCCGCTTAGGTTCTCATACAGCAGCGGCCCAGTGATTCCACTTTACCCCTCCTCCTAGGTGGTGCCTAGCAACAATGTTTGAGATACATTGATCTGGAACTGAGCTCCGTTAGTAGTTAGCTAGTGTGTCTGCATCCAGGTTGGTTCTCCGTGTATATGCAGTTGACCCTTGAACAAGACAGGTTTGAACAGCACAGGTCCCCTATAGGAAAATTTTTCCGATAAACACTGTAAATGTGTTTTCTCTTCTTTATGAGTTTCTTGCTAGCACTTTCTTGTCTCTAACCTACTTTATTGTAAGAATACATTTATATATTCAACGAGTCACTATGACATGCGCGGACCACCAGAGGGTGCACCTGGAACATGGTGGGCGCCAGCTGTGGTGGGGTGGTGGAGCAGGTGAGCAGGGGTGCCAGACCAAAGCAGGGCACTGGTTGCTGTCATTGGGGCGAGCCTCTGGTGGTTACTGAAAATTCTTTGCTCCCACACATCGTGGTCCCACCCAGTGCTCGCACCCGCTGCCAGTGCCAGATCTGCTGTTAGCACCTG